AGGAGAGAAACATGCTTACGTATATTGTTATGTGCACACACGCACACACACACACACATACACACGCATGTACTCTCTTTATTTACTTCCCTTTTTTTTTTTTTACGTGTATATTAGAAACCGATGGAGGCAGACCCGGTTACTTTTGATGACGCGTCACCTTCATTTGTGCGTCGTAAACGATTGAGTGAACGTGTCGCTAATGTTCTGCAATTTGGGCGGCCGCCATCGCGCGGTGCCTCCAGCATCAATCGCTTAGCACCCAACGCGAGCACTGCACCACCGCGTACTCCACCACGTGCAATAAGAAAAACCCCTCAAGGGGGAACCACCACCCGACGCTCGGCGTCAACGGCTGTGGTGTTGTTGGCCCCTCCAATTGATAAATTAATTATCGGGACGCATGACGTTGCCACGCAGCATGGGGAGGCACAAACATTAAAACATCAAAAGCGAGCATTGCCGAGGAATGACACTCACATACATTCAGTCCATGTACCGAGAGGCTTAAAGGACTTCATAGCTGCACCTGCGTCTTTGCCAGTCACGAGCGATCAAGCAATCCACAATAATTGTTTCCCTTCTCCTTCCTCTTCCTTTGTTTCCACTGCCTTAACAGCTGAGGTATTGGGTAGAAGTGCATCCCAACACTCCCGCGGGAAACAGATGTCGCAACCACACCAACCCCAACAGGAGGGAAGCCCCGGTATTTTGTCGAGTCAAATGACACCCTTAAGTTTGCGGAATTTGTCATGTGGCGATTCATCGTGTACAGGTGAACTGGCTGTGTTAGAGAGAACATCAAGAGGAGGGGAACGAGGGGAAATCAATTTGACGCAATACGCGACCAAATACGTCGTCCCATGTGTGATGGAGGAGAAGGAGGAAGAAGAAGAAGAAAAGGAGATGCCTGGTCCCCCGTTTCAACAAGAAGAATACGAAGAAAAGCGACATGTTTCTCATCAAAAAGCAATGGAGACAAAATGTGACGACAGCAGAATTCATTCCATACCTTCAACCTCTTTCTTGGATGGTGCAACGCCTCCCACAGACATGGAGACCGATGCGCTACAGACGCGGAGGTCTGTCTTTCGTCCAACGTCGTTTTTGTCACCTCCATACGAAAAAATTGATGTCACAACACTACTGGTAGTGGCTAAGGGCGGGTTGAGTGTAAGTAGCAGCGAGAACTATCACCACAACAAGAAGAGCCATGCAGGTGAAATGGGCATGAAACTTACCCCTGGGCCGCTGCTTGTGCGTGTGTTTGTGCCTCAAACCATGTTGGAGGAGACGACCGTACTTGACCTCAAGATGGAGGTGGAGCGTCATGTTGATATCGCCGCCGCACAGCAGACGTTGAGAGCCGACGGTGTAGTGCTGTTGGATGAATTGCCGCTCTCCTTCTTGGATCCCTCGACAATTCTCTTCATGGATGTAGAGCTCCCCTCGGAAGACAGGAGGGAAGAACATTCAAGGTGGAGGAATAGGCATGCGGTGCCGCAGACGGATTCCCCACCTGCACTGCAGCAGTGTGAGGCATCTTCGTTGCCATCACCGCCTGTGTGTGATGCTTTGTTAGAGCAGATGGAGAAGTTTATGCGAGCTCCGGTGAAGCAACCACACGTGGCGGCAGAGAAATCTGCCATCTCCTCCTCCGCCACCTCCCCCGCAGATGCCTTACGCCCAACGATATTAAAAGTCACAGTGAGTCCGACAACACACTCAACAAAGATGAAGGCTCCTCATGTGACGCCCGCCATTGTTAACACCAATAGTAGTCATCAAGCGGTTTCTCTGGAGAATCTTCAAAGTGCCAATTGCATGGAGACGGCTAATGATACGGACAACGCTGATGATGATGACGATGGGATGACGCATGAGAGGAAGAAACAGAACACGGCAGATGTCACCGCCATTTTCCCACCCCAAGGCACGGCAGACCCTTCCGGCAGCGTATTGTTTGGTGTTGGTTCGGCTATGCACAGAGACACTGCGGATGCGGATTCCATTTTATCTAAAAGACCATCTGTGAATTCGCATGGGTTGCTGGAGGACGCCATGACACGAGCGCAGCAACAGGTGGAGTTGTTGTCATGGCTCTGTAGTAGATCTGTTCACTCCGGTAAACGAAGCGGTGGTAATTCTCTGAGCGGGAACGTAAGAAGAGAGTAAAGAAAAAAAAAAAAAAAATGGAAAGAGAAGAAAAGAAGAGGGGAGGAGGACCTCAAGAAGTCGAAGATATATATTTATAAATATATATGTGTGTATATATATATAATATAATATAATATTATATTATATGATAGGGTGCTTTTTGTGCCTTTTTGCTACTTGTGTGTATTTGAGAATTAATGCCTGCCTTTCCTTTTATTATTTATTTATTTATTATTTATTTATTATGCATCCTTCTGTGTATATTTTTATTCATGTACACTTCCCACGAACGGATTGTCCATCTTCTTCTTCTTTTTTTTTTTTTTTTCTTCATTGTTTTTGTTGTTGCCTTCACTACCGGCATTCTTGTCTATCGCCGTAAGGAGCTGGAAGGTAGCAAGAGTCCACCATACATACACATAGAAAGGAAAAGAAAAAAAAAAAAAAAAACAACGCCGACAACAAAGAAACTGTGGGGTTTTTGTGTGTGTGAGTGGGGGGGAAAGAGGAGGTGAGTAAATATTATTAATTGGCAACAATAACAAGAATAACAAGAAGAAGGGATTTTTATTGTTATTTATTTATTTTTATTGGATTCCGTCAATGGTGCAGGATGCGGTAGTGGAGAAGGAATTTTTCTTAGACCCCGTTAAGAGGCATGGAAATGAAATTACAAATGAAATTTTTTCAATAAGTGTAAATAACATCATTTCCTCAAATTATAGTGAAGGATATATTTTGAAAAGTACATTGTATAATCAAAAAGTAAAAGGTTTTACATTACTTGAAATGACTTCTAAAACAGCATCTGGGAAACTTAAATTAGCATCTTCTTTTTTATTTGCTATAATGTCTGTTAGTATTATGATGCTTACTAAAACTATCCTTACAGAATTTAATTTTCATTGTTTTATCTTTGTTGGTTTTTTACAATACGTAACAACTATGGATGTATTACTTCTAAGACGATGTATAGGTTCTATCCATTTCCCATTAAAGGGATTTGTACGTATTGTCCTTGTGGAACTTTTTCCACTCCCTATGGTATTTATGTTTAATACCCTTACTGGCCTTGGGGCAACTCAATCACTGAACATGCCACTTTTTGTCCTACTACGTCGCCTTTCTATTTTTTTAACACTTCTTGGGGAGGTGATATTTTTAGGCTACAATCACGGATGGGAAACACGTATTGCCGTTATTCTTATGATTATAGGGGCTTTTATCGTTACGAGCTTTGAGGTGAGTGTACCGGTCCGTGGAATTGTATTTGTACTTTTCAACGATGTCTTAACTGCATTGAATGGAATATTGACACGTATGAAAATGGATGAAAACCAATTTAGTTCTGAAGGGATCATGTTTTACACAAATGCCTTTGCAGCATGTTGTACGGGAATTATGTTATTGTTTGATTTCCGATGGGAATGGACGGATTTAATGCATTTTGATGGTTGGACTCCTATATTTATTACGTTTCTTATCATCAATGCTTTCTCTGGATTTGGTATTACTTATGCGACGTATCTTTGTACAAAACTTAATTCCCCATTAACGGTATCAATGATTGGTGCTGGGAAAAATGTCTTTACATCTTATGTTGGTATGTTATTTAGAGATTATACCTTTTCTATACCTTCTTTTATTGGGATAAATATCTCTGTTTTAGGTTGCCTTTTATATAGCCATCGTGAGTTTGTGCGTATCATGCGACGGCAGGAAGATGGGGATCTGACGCATTCAGAACAGTGTGTAGCAAAGAGGGAAAATCCATGAGACATCTACAAGAGAGAAGAAAAAAGAAAAGCGGGGAGCTTTTTTTTTTGGTGCATTTTGGGGCCAATGACAATATAATTATATATAAAATACATGAATGACTAAATTGAAAGTATATGTAAAGAAGTAGAAAAGAAAACGTCATCATCTTTAAAAAAATATTTATATTTATTTATTTATTTATTTATTTATAATGAATTAAATTCAATATTATAAATAAATTAAAAATGAAGGATAATATACATATACATATATACATATATATATATAAGTGAAGTATTATTATTAATTATAATTGTGAGTACAGTTTGTTATTTATGCATCTAATGGAAGCATTCTATTTACCGGTGGCAAGAGGGAGAGAGAGAGAGAGAGAGAGATAATAATAATAATAAATGAAGAAATTATTTAGTAATAATGACGGTTTTTTCCTGTTTTTAAATATAAAATACACATGTATGCATGCATGTATGTATATTTCCTTGTTTTGTGATGTATCACATGTCCGTACGCGTATAAATACATTTGGTACGTGTGTTTGTGTGTGTGATGCGTTTTTTTTTTCTTTTTAATCCTTTTGTTGTTATTGCAGCCTTGACCCCACTTTACTGCCTTTTTTGTTGTTGTTTTGGACCCCTTTTTATTCCCCTGTTTTTTCTTTATTTTTTATTTGTTTTTATTTTTTTTTTTTGCTTTTGCTTTTGCTTTTGCTTTTTGATGTGTTAGTTCTTCTCTCAACAAAAGCCACACCACATCCCCCTCCACATAATTATACACACACACACAGAGAGGGAGAGGGAGAGGGAGGGAGGGAAAGAGAGGGAGAAGGAGAGGAGGGGTGAGAAAACAACAACAACAGAAAAAGGAAAAAAAAAAAATAATAATTGTGGGGTGTTACTGCGGGCTTGCGGTCAAAGACGGCAGTGTACTGCCGCCGCTGCCGCTGCCTTCACCATCTTCGGGTACAGCAAGAGAAGTAAACAGAGGACAGTGAAAGGGGGAGGGAATTCAAAAGGTCATACCCTTTGCTTTTTCTTATTATTATTATTATTATTTGCGTCAAGGTGACTCACCGTGCACCCACCTGAAGTGTTTTTTTAATATATAAATATATATAAATATATAAACACTTGTTTACCACTGAGGTGTGGTTGGACGGTGTCGACATACAAAATACAGAGAGAGAGAGATCAATAGAGAGAATAGGGGAATTAGTATTATTTCTTGGAAGGGACGTTTGTCTGTGTGTGTTTGAAAGGGGGAGAAAAAGAAGAAGGAGGGGGGTGATGGGAAAAGCGGAGGGCATTCGTATTTTTTTGCGAATTCGCCCGGCTGCGGAGGGCGGCCTCTCGCGGCCCCCCTTCAACAACAGCGGTGGGGGGGTGGAGCAGGGCACCTACGCCGTCGATCACACCTTCGACCTCTCCACCGTACACTTCCACGTGGATCGCCGCCTGGAGACGGATGTTGTGAACAACACAAGGGAGGACTATCGTTTTACCTTCCGGCGGGCCTTTGAGCCAAGTGCGACGCAGGAAGAGGTGTTTAACGTCGTTGCAAAGGACTGCGTCCTGGCGGCATTGGACGGCTACAACAGCACCATCTTTGCCTACGGGCAAACTGGCAGCGGTAAGACGTACAGCATCACAGGCGGTGCGGAGAGTTACGAGGATCGCGGCATCATTCCACGGGCGTTGGCGCTCATCTACGACGAGGTGGCGCGGCGGCAGCGGGAGTGTACATGGAGCATCGCTGTGTCGTACCTGCAGATATACAACGACAAGGGGCAGGATTTACTCAACCACGGCCGTGACGCGCGGCGGTTGGAGGATCTGCCGACGGTGACGATTCACGACGGAGACGAGGAGGAAATGCTGCTGAAGGGGCTCGCACAACACGGGGCACCGAATGTGCAGGAAGCGCTTAACCTGCTATTCCTCGGCGACACCAATCGACTCTACTGTGAGACACCAATGAACAAGACGTCCTCGCGTTCGCACTGTGTCTTTACGATTTACCTCGAGGCACGCGCCCATGGTTCTTCTGTCGTGCGTCGCTCGAAGTTAAATCTTGTCGACCTCGCCGGCAGCGAGCGCGTGTCGAAGTCGGGGGTGAGTGGGACGGTGCTTACAGAGGCAAAACACATCAACCTCTCGCTGCACTATCTGGAGCAGGTCATCATGGCTCTCAGCGAGCAGGCAAGTGGTAGACGCGAGCACGTGCCATTTCGTAACTCCTTCATGACAATGGTGTTACGTGACTCACTAGGGGGGAACTGCCGCACAAGTATGCTTGCCACCGCCCATCCCGCAGCGGAACACCTGCCAGAGACGATCAGCACCTGTCGATTTGCGCAGCGCGTTGCGATGATTCGACAGGATGCACACATCAACGAGGAAGTGGATCCACAGCTCTTAGTGCGGAAACTTAAGGTGGAGTTGCAGCAGCTACGGGATCAGCTGGCTTTTTACACAAAAGACGGGGGCGGTGCACCGGATCGTGAGCTCAGCGATGATGAGAAGCAGCGGTGTCAAGAGATGGTGCGGCGGTATGTCTCAGAAACCAGCAACGATGGACGTATTGAAGGGTTTGAAGGGGATTTGGCACGCATTTATTACTGTTTTGATGTGATGAAACGCATGTTAACAACCGGCGGTCATACGGCCGGGCATCGTTCCGGGTTGACGGACGGTGGCGGGGGGAGTTTTAGCGAGTCTGCGGGTGCCCCGCTTTCACAACAACAAAAACAGCAGGAAGAGGAGGAGGAACAGAAAAGGTTGGATGTCTACCGTGCCCGTATCGATGCATTAGAGTTAAGTCTACAGCAGAAGGAGAATGAGATGAATATGCTCTTTGGTGTCTTGCAGAAGGCACAACGGGCCCAGTTTAACGCAGAGACGCAGACCGGCCTTACCGCAATTACATCGTTTAGCCTTAGCGGCAACAATGACAACACTTTTAGTAATAATACCAGTACCACCAATAGAGACTCGCATACATCCGCAACGCTGCAAGAAGGGAATTTATTTTCATCACCCATACCGCAGCAGGCGCTTGAAAACGGGAGTCATGGTGCCGTGGGTTTGCATCGTCGTGCGTTGCACGATCGACTTGATGCGGCGCAGGCTACGGCCGTCGATGAGTTTTTCCGCAAACAGGCACAACTCAACGAGGTGTATGACCTTTCCGCCCTCACGGATGCAGACCTTTTAAAGGACCGCGCGACTGCCTTTGAGGCCTTTCATCGCTCCTACCGCCACTGTGCGGAGATGGAAGGCAATAAGCGTGAGCTGAAGCAGCGATACGATACATGCAAAGCCACCGCCCGACAACTGAATGATGCTGTAGACCGCATCAAACACCTGAAGGCGAATATTCAGCGCCTACGTGCGGAGCGGGCGTTACAGGGTGTTGAGGAGGTGGATGATGCGGAACGTGCCTTGCTAGAGGAGCTGACAGCAACGAAGGCGGCATACAATGATTTTGCCACCTCTTTACGGCGACAAAAGGAGGAGATTGACGCCATGCATCTTTTTATGAAGCGGTCGCAGGAGCAACTGACGAGAGACTTTGAAGAATGGCTGCAGATTCGACAGCAGCAGCTCGCCATGGTAAGGAATGGGGGCGGGAACGGCATCCCTAAGAACGGTAGCACACAGCTTATGACAACAACATCCGCATCAACGCCCATTTACTCGTCGTCTCCCGCAAGTCAAAATCTCCTGAAACATTCGAACTCTATGCCGATACAATCTTCACAACAACAACAAAACCAACAACAGCAGCAGCAGTCGCTGCGGCTCGTCATGTCATTGTCGAACGTGCCGTCGGAACTTCCGCCACTGCGGGAGGAGGTCATGAGTTCTGCACGGGGTTGGACTGGTGGAAAATGGCCACCCACAAATAGGGCGACAGGCGACAGTGGAGAAGCCAACAACGGTGGTTTGGCGCCCCCGTTGTTGGCCACTGCCTCAATGGACCTTCTGCAGCCGCATCCTGCCACCGCACCGCCATCCGTTAGGCCGGAGCGAGCATCGCCGCCCATCCCAACACGCCGCGCACCACTCAATCCAATTTCATCGCCCAGCCGCGCCCCGCTGGGAACTAATAGCTGGACGGGGAGGGATGCGTTCACTTCATCGTCGTCGTCGATCTTGGGTCAGTCAGGGTCAAACAACGAGATTCCAAACCCCTACGCCCCAGAACATCGTTCCACAGGGGACGCTGCTGCAGATAAGCAACTCGCCGCCTTGTATAGGGCACGTGATTCAATGCGCCAAGAATTCAAATCTTAAATATCCCCCTCTTTGGTTTTCTTTTTTTTTTTTTGTTTTTTCAAGAAAGAATGAAAAGTCAAGAAGATTAAAAGAAAAAAAAAAAGGAAAGAAAGAAAGGAAAAGAGCCTTAAATTTAATGCCGTATGGATTTGGATTTGTATATGCATGCGGTTTACTTGTTGTTTTTTGTGTGTTTGTTTGTTTTTTTGTTGACGTTTTTTTGAGTTGTTGTATATACATATTATATCATTTACTGTTTTCTATGTACCTTGTGAAGGACGGTTTGTATTTGCTCTATGCGTGAATACATAACTTAAAATATATTTATATATATATAAATACATATGTATGTATTTATCCATGTCTTTCTTGATGTGGGAATCATGCATGTGGTTTTGGTGTGAACTGTTTCTTGAATACAGCTGGCGTTATGTGTGTGTGTGTTTGTATTTTATAAATGGCTATAACATTTTCTATAGATAGAAGGATGGAGCCGTGTATTTGTGTGTATGTGTGTGTGTAGGGAGGGGAGGAAAGATGCGCAGTACATAACAGTGAAGTAAACGCATGTATACATTTGACGCGGACGGTGCAAATGTGCGTTGTGTATCTTTGACTTGTGTAAAATAAAAATAAGGAAAATGAGAGAGAGAGAGAGAGAGAAGGATAAATGTACGCCAGTATCCTTCTCTAATCTGTTTTTTATTCTCTTTTTCTCTCTTTCTCACATGCTCCCTCTTTGCCGTTGGCGGTGGGTTTGTTTTTTGTTTTTTGTTCTTTAGGGAAATCACAAGGAATTTCGTGGGAGTAGGGGCAAAGGGGAGGGGACATAAACAAACAAGAGGTGAAAATGCCCCCCAAAATGCGGCGGTGGGTTGTTGAGGATCCAAACAACACATGGAATCATCAGCTCATGCAGGCATCTTTGCGGTACAGTCTCACGGATGCGGAAGCGCTGCTTCAAAACGGTGCGGACCCCGTAAGGGCCTGTGAGGCGGTGCCGTTTTATAAGGAGCCACTTCCTCCGCTTATCGCACTGCTACTTCAAAGCCGTTACACCGCCGAGTCCGTGGCGATGATGAAATGGCTCCTGGAACACGGTGCATCGGTATCGCAGTTTATTCCGTTGGAGGGGAAAGACTTGCAAACGAGCCCTGGTGAAAATGGAACAATTCTACACTTGTTTGTGCAGTTAGGACAACCTGCATTTTTATTGGATTTGCTCATTCTGGTGGGTGAACCGAGGCCTGTGCCGGGATCGATACAGAAGCGTCTGCCACGTCCCGATCGACCGATAACACCAGGGATGTCGACATTTACGGTTGGTACAGGTGCCAAGGGATCCGCGACGCGAGGGGCTCAGGGCAGCTCTTCAGGAAATAGTGGAAAACGCGGCGCACGTTTATCACGCATGACGACAGATGCCGCTGCATTGCTAGCGTCAAATAATTTTGTGGATCCAGCTTTTCACTTGGATGGAAATGTCATTGATTTTGAGGCCCGTACCTCTGTGAATGGCTGGACGGCGATGGATCTCGCCCTGCGTTGTGGGGACGCGACAATGGTGCAGTTGCTTCTATACTATGGTGCTCCGGGTGTGTTTCATCGTCTTGTGAACGGCACTCAGACTGCACTGGCACGTGCCTGCACGACGGGTGACAAGGAACTTGTGGAACTCCTGCTGGATGCAGGTGATGCGATTGGGCAGATATCACTGGATGGCCGCTACACGTTAATTCACTACGCAGCAGGGCAACCTGCCATTCTTGATGTGTTGCTGGCACGTGGCCTCTCGATTGATGCGGTAAATGCGCTGGGTGAAACCGCTCTTGTCTCTCTCATTTGTTACGGGCAAGGTAACAATGGAGAGCATGCCATCCGTGAGGCCCCACGGTCATCGGATGCCGCGAAACTGGCGGCGCTACCAACACCGGCATTGCTGAATTATATTTTAACACCCATGCCCCCAATTGCTGTGCCGCCCCTCAAGCAGTTAAGGTCAGCGAGTTCAACGAGCGCTGGAATTGGGATGGATATGGACTTCCCACGCATGACGCATGAAGCTGACGCATGGTGGTACTTTGCATCAAACTGCAGCACATGGACGATGATACAGAATTTGTGTGACCGTGGTGCGGATGTACACGGCGATGCACCGCAGGGGGAAGAAGAGAGGGTGGAGGAACGTTCAGTGAATAACCGTTGCAAGGGGTCTGGTGTGGCAAGGCAATTGTATTTAAATCCCTCATCTAGCAACAGTCAGTTGCCATCGGAGCAAAGTGGAAGTTCGACCAACGTGCATTTCAATACCAGCTTGGCGGGGATGAGTGCGATGGAAATCCATGCGGAGGGCCAGATGAACGAGAAGGATATGACCGTACCCAGCATGCAATTTGTTACACACCTGACTCCGTTAATGCATGCAATTGTAGCATATCATCCGGAATTGATTCGTCGGCTTGTCGTTGAGTTCCATGCGGATCCTATGGTTCGAGATGCAAAAGGGGCTTGTGCATTACATTACGCCGCCATTGCACGAAATCCAAGTGTAATGGAATTATTTTTATCCCCACTTGTGATTCCAGGACATGCAAACTTTGATATCAATGCACAAGACTGTCTTGGGCGTACGCCGCTGCATTACGCTGCGGCATGTGGCAACAGCGGGGTTGTACGTGCGTTACTGAAATCATCTTCGTCGTTGATTGCCGGAAGGACGGATTACGCGGGGCGAACACCACTTCATCTCGCTGTTTTGGCAAGTGAAGCAAATGTCGTGGAGCTCCTGTTGCGGCACGGCGAGACGGTCGCGACGGAGTCACAAAGTACGGTATCGGCTGTATCCACAAGGAAGAAATCCGTCATTACAAGGCGAAAGGCCCGACAGCCATCGCTAAATGAAGTAAATGTCCCTGATCATGCCGCGGTGATAGATGTGGAGGCGGAGGACAGGTTGGCCAGTCAAACAGCACTTGAAATGGCGGTTTACGTTACACGTGATGCAGAAATCGCCCGCCTACTACTCACATTGGGGTACGCCTCTGCGCGACGTCCCAGCGGTCTGCCTACAGGCGGTTCTCTTCTCCATCGTGCGGTGGTGGATGGAACGATGGATATTCTGCTGCTTCTGCTGGAAAACTATGCCGATCCAAATGAGGTGGATAACTTGGAACAAACCACGTTGCATCTTGCAACTCAGTCAAATCTTCCGCAGGCATGTGAAATGGTACGTGAGTTACTGCGCTTTGGTGCGACACCGGAGGCACGGAGTGGATGCACATTAGAAACCCCTATTCTTATTGCCGCTCGTCGTGGGGATGCGGACATGTTAGATCTTCTTTTGCATCAACAAGAGGAATTTAGCTCCGGGAGACCATTGCTCTTGCATGGGGCGAAAGGAGCGCAACGGGAACGCATGCGTCATATTCCACGTCCTCGCCCGAACGCGTCGTCGCCGTCGAATCGCCGCAATGGCCGACAGCAGCAAAAACAGGCTCCAACCACACAGTCATCAGTACGTCGCGGTCGGCAGAAGCAACAACAACCTACAGTTGGGGACGCTTCACTCTCCTCCGATTTGAATGATAACTCCATCCTTGGCGTTGCCGCCAACAACAGCAACAGCAATATCAACCCCATTGGCGGTACGGACCTCCGGGGAAGACATTCCACTACCCCTATAGCAGTGTCTGGTTCCACTACGGCGGAGGTTGGGGAAAGTTTTAGTGGGAATGTTGAATCTGAGGGGCAGAAAACACAATTGTCAAAACCACAACACCTGCTGCTTACAGATGGTCGCGTGCGTACGACGCTGCATTATCTCTGCGCACACAGCGAGGCATCAAAGCAGGCCGCGCTGCTGCCCATTATCCAAGAAATTTTGGGGTGTTCGATTGCGCCTACGCTGGTGCTACAGTTGGACGCCGATGGTCGGCTTCCTCTTCACGACGCCTGTACCGCCGGTTACGCCGCGGCAGTTTTTGAGCTGCTTAAGTGCGATGATGGGAGCTGTGCATTTCAGCTGGACTCACGTGGGTGTCTTCCGCTTCACTACGCCGTGTTGGCCAACGACGTGGCCAGCATCACGGCACTTGTAAAAAGCGTTGGTGTATGGCTGCCATGCGCTCTTAAGGGCAGCACATGTGCAATGGATGATGATCGACTGTTCCCTATTACCGATCGTATTCTGCAGCAAGGCCCACATTCTCAAAATCATCATGAACGAGGCGACATTCAAATGCCGTCGCAAGAATACCCACACCGTCACGGCGTGAACCCACTTTGTGGGGTCGGTCGCTGCAATAAGTGGATCAACACTCCCTGGGAATACTTGAATGTGCCTGATGATATGGGTCGGACGCCAATGTTGCTTGCTGCAGAGTTGGGTCATTTGAAGGCCAGTAAGGCTCTGATGCAATGGATGCAAGTATGCTCCAAATCAAGACATTATTAAGTGGATAATTGCCACTTCCACACTTAACCGTCAGAAGACCTTTTTTTTTTTGTTGTTGTTGTTTTGACGCGGATTGCTCTCAATTCTTTTCTGACGGAATCGGCGTCGTTAGGAATGGGATACACACAGGAAGAAGGGAAGATGGAACCAATGTAAGTATGAAACCTTTTATTTCCGCTTTAATGAATGAGGAATGTAAATTAGATCCAAGAAACACGAGAATGAAGTATATATATATATATGGAGAAAGAGAGAGGGAGAGAGGGGGGGAACGAGAGACCGTTTCTACATGCACACACGAATATGCTCTATAAGTATGCCTTTACATTGTAACTTTGTAATGTAAATGTGTCATTATTATTATTATTATTTGGCTGGATTTTATTTATTTGTTACCTTTCTTTCTTTCTCTGTATGTATGTATGTATTTTGCTTCACTTCACAGCGGCACTTCCTCAAAAGTACAACTGTGTTGCATAATTTATTACAAGAAGTATTTAGGCGTGTATAAAGTCCATTATTCACCACCACCACTAATACCACCGGAACGGAAAGGGAGGAAATGGGAGTTGGGCAGAGTCGGGAGTTGCTCGGGAAGGTTAGCGATGAGCGCGTGTTCATTTGCACCAATCGTGAGGAGTTGATTGCACTGTTGGCGAATTTACAGAAGACGCTTCCGCCGGAAACAGATGAAGGTGGTGTAGATGAAATGAAAGACCAATACCCGGAAGGAGAGGAAAAGGAAAAAGAAGGGGAGAGATTGGATGAGACGACGGATAAGGCAGCGGCTCATGTCCCTGTGGAGGCGATTCATATTCCCAATCATTACCTCGGCGATGACGGATTTCTCTTAGGGCATCCTGAGGTGTTGCAATCACTTGCCGCCAGCACCGCGCTGCACTCACTTGACGTTGGCTACAACGCCCTCACTGCCCGTTCGGCTGAAGCACTTGTTGGTGGTCCTGGCACACCACCGAATCTGCAGTCGCTGAATCTCGCCGGCAACCACATGGGGCCTGCGGGATGCAAAAAAATTGCCGAATTTCTCGCCAAGAACCCCCCGCTTCGTGAGCTTTCGCTCTTTCACAATGGCCTGTACGATAGCGACGTGGAGCCGATCCTACGTGCACTTAGCGAGAACACACATCTACGGTTTCTTAACCTGGACTGCAACTTCCTTACGGGGGAATTCCTGCGGGTGCTGCTTGAGGTGCTGCAGTCCAACACAACCCTTGCCGTTGTTTGGTTTGACGGGCCATACCACCCAGACACATTGGAGCCGATGCGTCCGGCGTCATCTGTAGAGTTGATTCCAGGTGAAGAAGACACATCCGCAAATGCACGGTTTTTGTTGCGGAAAAGATTATTGCGTGCGGATCTTGCAGGGCGGCCACCTTTTCCGGCCAATCTCGTCCGGGAATTAGAGGTCATCCTTGCCCCACGGCGAGCGGCCTACTTGGCGGAGTTAAAAGCGGATGAAGAGGCTGAGGCGAGAAGAATAGCAACAGCAGAGGCTGCAGCAGCTGCAGTCCAAGTCGCACGGCGTCTCAAGGATGCCGCATGTTTGGCAATAGGCGATCAACAACAGATGGCGGACGGGGAAGAAGAAGTGTGCAACGACGCGGAACATCCGGAGGGGCAGGCGCAGGATGAACATACACCTCTTGACGGGGTTGTGGAAAAGGCCGTGGTGGAGCAGAAAGGCCGCACCGCATTGGGATCATCCTTCGACCCGCACACTTCCTCCGAGACGGGCCGGTGGAGGGTTGGATTCGTGGATGGAGCCAGCCGCAGCCAAACATCCATGTCGGCCGCATTGAAGGGGGATTCTCACATCCCTACTTCAGCTCGGAGGACGCACACGCGGAATGTGAAGGGCGGCCTTGTTTCCGGGCGAGAGTTATCCAACGGCTTTGATCGACTGGTTCTTTTACCAACGGATAATAATTCAAGCACCAAAACAATTTGGCACAAAATCACAGGTCCGCCATACCGACTGCGTGCGTGTTGGTGCGATCCACGCGATGTGGCGATGCCGTACGGGAGTATATTGCACTACCACTGTAAGCACGAACCAACGGGAGGGGATATGGGTGAAATTGGCACCAATGACAAACCGCTGGAACACAAAAATCCGTCCACTCGAGCCAATACGCGAAGAGTGTTACAACGCATTTTGAAAGGTTCGTCCAAAGAAAGTAATGAAGGGAAAAAAGTTGTCTACAATGGTTGTAAGGCAACAAGTCATCGTTGTGAGTCTATCGGTTTCTACGGTAGTTCAAAACCAGACAGAAGTTCCGTATTTTTCTTTGCGAGTCCACATCCAATGCATGCAATTTTTGCTGAGCCGGCTTTGGATGCCCGTTGAGTATTTTGAGGAGGAAAAAACAAACAAACAAAAGGGAAATAATTTGATTTATAAGGTTTTTTAATTCTTTTTTTGTTTGTTTGATGGTGATGCTTATTGTTGTTTTTATTATATGTCAGCACAAAGTTCTCATTTTCTCTATCTCTCTCTTTTTCTCATTCATACGAGTGGAAGGGTTGCTTTTATGCATTTATGTATTTATTGATGTAATGTGTATGTGGTGAACAACACGGAGGAAAATGGGGAAGGAAGTGAGCATGTATTATATTCATGAGGGGGAAATGTTATACTCATGATGGTAGAATTGACATTGTCAATCTATTTGTTTATTACAATGACTGTCCCATAACACAATGTATGTATATATATATGTATATATATATTCGTGAGGTAAAAAATAATATTTTTTTTTTCTTTTTCTTTTTTTCTCTATGCTGTTTATTTGTTATTGCGACACGTATTTTCTTTGGCACTTGTTTTTTTTTTTTTTTTTGGTGTTGTGTATCTCTTGAAGGGGTTAGGTGGGGAACGATTACATTTTAGGTGTTTGTTTGTGTGTTTGTGTGTTTGTGTGTGTGGCTGTCTTTTTGGTGCTGTTGGTGGTATTGGCGGTTGCAACGGTACATGTGTCTCTGATTGGGATATCCGAAGAAAAGAAGGAAGTTACATCAATAGTGAGAAGATAGGCGGTAGTTAGAAGGGAGTGGTTTGGGTAGCCAATGAGGAGAAATGACATAAAAAGACGCCTGTTGGATTCTTTAATTTCCTATTGGCGTTGGAATCGAGAAAACCTTTCGAGGAATTTTTCTGCATTTGTGGAAAATGGCAGGCACGTGATTGGTATGGATGGTCCTGTGGAGGCAGGTAGTGAAAAGGACATGGGGCGTGGGAATTCATCCATGCCTCCTTTTTTTTCCTCGATGCCGCCATCATCATCATCATCATTGCCGCTGGATGCCATGAAACGTGTAGTACACGAGCGTCGCTCCTGCAAGCGATTTGACCCAACAAAGTCAATTGACCTCGACGTGGTTTCTGATCTTCTCGCCATGACGGTACGGGCTCCTACCGCCCTGAACTTACAGCCGTGGGTGGCTGTTGTCATACACGAGGAGGAGCAACGAGAAACCCTCTCGCGTGCGGCCCTGGGGCAACCGCAGCCTCGTGACGCACCGGTGACAGTTGTGTTCGCTGGTGACATGGAGCCGGAGAGCAATGCCCCGGCCGCGCTTGAGATGGGGCTGGAGAGTGGGTACTACCACTCACTTTATGGCGCAGCCTATCTGCGACATGCGTACTACCTACTTCACGGTGGCCCATGTGAAGTCATGTCACATGTCAAGGCGATTGTGTCTGCATGGTATAGTGAAAGCACTGGCAACGCGATGCTGTCGGTTCCTAGAAATAAGCAGGCGTATGCGTGGAAGCAGGTTATGATACCGGCAACGACGTTTCTTTATCTTGCAACAGCAGCAGGGTTTGACACGGCAATTTTGGAAGGGTTTGATGAGGCGCAGGTGCGGCGTGTGGCAGGGTTACCGCCACGATTCACAGTGCCGGTGATTATTAGTGTTGGGCACGGTGCGAAGAACGGTTTTCACTCCGTACGCAGCCCACGATTTCCCACGAAACATTTGGTTCGGTGGGGAAAGTTTTGAAGGAAACGCGCATTGAAAGAGAAAAATTAGTAACGACAGATAACCGAGGCCGCTTGCGGTGGCACACACACACAAAAAAAAAAAAAAAAAAAACCCTGGGGAGGGGAAGGGAGAGGGGAATAACATGTGCTTCTGCGGAGGCCAATAAATAAATGAGGCGAGAATGGGGAGATAAGGATGAGAGAGGAAGAGAGGAGCGTGGGGGAATGGAAAGGAGATGGAAAAGTGCAGGTGCGGTGGCGGCGCATATATATATATATATATATATATATATATTTCCGCAACTTCTTGTTGTCTTTGTGTGTGTGTGTGTGTGTGTAAATAAAGATGATGGGATCCGCGACTCTCTCTCTCTCTCTTTACATGTGTCTGCATCTCTTTTTTTGGTATCTTCATATGTCTTTATTCTCTGCGTTTTGTCTTTTCTCTTTTTTTCTTTTTCCTCCCTTTTCTTTTGCGTGTGTTTGAAGTGCGGTGAAGTGAGAAGGGTTTAGCAAAGCCTAATTTGCCTGCGACATGTCAGCAGGCAAGGGAGGAGGGGAAATGAGAGAGTCGCCGGCCGGCAAAGAGATGCACTCCGTTGGGTCGTCGATTGAGTTTCAGGTGTGCACAGACTCCAAGGCAAGTAGTCGCGCGAATTCAGATGGCGGCGGTGACGCACCCTCCTTGCGTGAAGAAGTTTGTGGTAGCGGTGTCGTGAGTGGCGTCCATGGCTCCCCACCGGCGTCGTCAGGGCCCACCGACCGACGGCACGTTGCAGCGGCGGTCGAAGGAGTGGGGTGCGCAATGACACAAGAGAGAGATGACGACAAGAACGGACATGCCCGCCCGCACCAGAGTACACCTGCGTTGCTGCTTCCACTGCCACAAGGAGCGGCATCAACGATGGAGGGCGCGGTGGCGCAGTCGACATCCCCGGGCAGACTGTCTCGTCCGACGGCGACGGTGGAAAGAACAGCGAGGGATGACTTCAGCAGCCTGAATTCCGCGACGGGCCGTGGGGAGCAGCGTGGGCGCAGTGACCCACGCGGTGACGAGAAAAAAGCGAGGATTCACGCCAAGGCCGCGCCTCTTCCTGCCGCAACCCCCTCACATGGTCGACTGATTGACGACAAGTCGGGTGGCTGCTGGGCCAACTGTGGGCCCAAAGTACGGTTTCCGTTTTTTAAGGGCTTCCGCGGCATGTTCTCTTCAAATAAGAGGAAGAAGAGCCAACAACATCAGGGAGGCATTGCGCGTGAGGCACATGCATCTGAAGGGGCGCCCGCAGGAGGGATGGCAACAGCAATCGTGCCCATGGATGAATCTCGGTTTACTTCTTTTGTTACTCCGACGCCATCACCTCCTGTCGCTGCTGTTTTCAGACCCAGCGACGAGGAGGGAAAGGGAAAAGGTATTTTGGATGGATACAGGGTACACAACGAGGATTGGGCTCGGGAGTCTCATGGGAACGGGCAAGATGTGGAGGAAGATCCCAGACAACAGCGATCTCACGATATAAGGACACCGCCGCACTCATTGCAAGATGAGAAACTACAGGAAGAAGACGTTTCAAAGGCACGAGAGGCCAAGAAAGTGAAAGAGGTGACTGACGGTGGTGGTAGCGAGGCTGTAAAGGAGGTGGTGGAGAATGTGTCAAGATCTGTTCAGGCATCGCCGTCGCCCGCAGCCTCTGCACCGTTAGTCACATTGGTGCCGCCTGTGGGGACGGATTTTCACTCCAGATCAAACGCATCGACCCCACGGACGCATGAGGAGGAAGAGACTTCAGGTGCAGTCACACCGAAACTGTGTGATGATATTTATTCCACGAAGGATGAAAATTCATTGTGTTTTGAGTTTGAGGAGGAAAAGGAAGAGGCGAATGCGGACAGCAATGAAAGTCAGTTTGCATCGTCTCACAGCCTTCTGTTTGCAAATCTGGAAGTAAAGGCGTTGCCCAGTGCCGAAAAGGCCACAACGAGTTCTACGACAACGATGCTGACCGAGAAGGTTGTCCCTAATTGGCTGCCTGTGGTACCCAGACGGAGTGCACGTGATGAGTTCCGGGGACTTGCAACTTCCTCCGCGAAGAGGACACATTCATTCATGCGTGCAGCACAGCGCGGCCATGAGAGGCGTGCCAATGGGAATTATAACGCTTCACGTGAAACGTCGCATGTCACAATTGCTTCGTATCCGTGCCGTAGTCATTCTGCTTACGAGTCTACTCGCCGGATGCAAAATGGAAAGAAGAAACCCGAAGAGGGAGGAGAACCGGGAGATGACGAGAGGATGGCGACGATGATGATGAGGGCTTTAACGTCTAAAACCTACGCTTCGTTATTGCCTCCCACGTTTCACACCGCCGTCAGGTTTGGTTCACAACGGAATGGAAAGCAACCGAAAGAAAACAACAAGGCCGTGACTGCACGAAAGGCGTCCGTTGTGAGGTGGTACACGTCCACTCCACAGGCAAGGAAAAGGGCAGCTGCTGTCCTCAAGTCACGAAGGGACGAAAAAAGCAGTGGGCATTCGCTGCAGCAGAGGGTGGCTTCAAGGAACGGCGACAACAGCTGGACGAAGGAGGGCAGTGTTCATCTTAGTCTCGGGTCGTACGCCCAAATGGCCGCGAGGCGACGGGAATACATGGAATACATGCAAAAGGCAAAATCTCTTGCCACGTCGCATAGTATCATCAACAACAGTAGGAGCAGTGCTTGGAAAGACAAGAAACATTCGCATGGTGGCAAGGCAACATGTCCCGTTTTACGAGAGCCAACCTCGGGAATTGATTCCCCGAAGGAGTTGCTGCGGGAGGGATATGCAGCATACTGGAGATACCTTACCGCTTTGTTGATGCAGAATGGGAATAAAAAAGCGGGTCATACGGACGCGTCGATGGCGCGTTTATTTGGAACGTTGAAATCTCGGCGCTCGCCCTACACGGGGCTCACGTGGAGGGAATTTAAGTCACTGTTTTATCTAAGTAATAGTTTTTCAATGAACACAAACTCCTCCTTCCCTCTTCATGCCGGTGGCACTGAACCAACCACAGAGATGCAGGAAGATCCTTTTTTGGTACTCTCTATGTTAATGCGGCCATCATGTGCTGCATGTGGACCGGATGCACGCGAGCTGCAGATGTTGTATTTATTATCCAACGGCGGAAGGGAGCGGATTGTAACGCAGCCAACACGGGAGTGGCTCTATGAGTCCGTACCTACTGTCCCAAAACCAAAGTTTTCCACCATAACGCCAAAGAAGCAATCACACACGTTGGAATCATCACGAAAGAAGAACAACGCATTTGTGGAGAAGGGGACGCCATCTGGATCGCTTTTTTCATATGCGTCACAGTTCTCTACAACTGCACATGGAGCGAGGTGCAGCGATAATACGTTGGATAGGGACTCGTCCTATATTGCCGTGAAATTCGATGCGGTTGAGCCCAAGCAGCATGAGGCGCAACGGCGACGGGGTTTTAACGGTAATGAAGATCATGATGTAAGTGGGGCTCTTCCTTTTACAAATTCCCCTGATTCCACTGCTGGAGGTCATTTCTCCGACGTCATTTACTCCCCTAAGACAACAGAAGCAGAAGCAACTGTGGGTAATGTGGATGGAACGCGTCATGAGCACCAAAAACTTCAAGAGACAAAATATGCGCCGGATACTACTGACGCCCCTTCTGTACAGTCTATTTGTGAGCAGGCCTTTGAGAAATCGGAGGGAGGAATTTGTAAGAAACTTGATGCATTGGGCACCATGCCTGCGCAACATTTTCCAGGTATGTATGAGAATTATACGGAGAAATGTGAAGGAGATCTCAAGAGAAGTCATGTGAATGGTACCATAAACATGACGCCATGTGTTCATTCAGTTGTGAAATCCACCGACGCACATGTTGACAAGTCTCGTGACATGGGAGGCAGCAAGGAGGGAAAAGAGAGAAAGGGAAAGGATAACGATACACATGCCACATGGACGGAAGAGCGACGAAGTCTTGAGGAAAAATTAATTATTATTGCCGCTGAGCGAGATATGCTGATGGATCAGCTTCGTATATACAATACATACGATGAGGCAAAGCAGAAAAGAAAGAAGGAAACGCAACCTCAGCAGACACCATCAGGCACCGTATCATAGTTATGCATTAGTACTGGATGCTACCAACCGGATTTCTTGTCTATTATTTATTCTTTTTCTTTTCTTTCTCTCTCTCTCTCTCTTTCTTTTTCTGTTGTTTCTCCTTGTTTGAGGGAGAACATGCATTGCTCCTTTTCCTTCTTTATATGAATACATATATATATACTGCATCCTTCCGTCTTCTCCTTTATTTTTTGTGTTTGTGTGGGTGACTGAGGGCTTTATATGTGACAATCGAACTTTCATGGCGTTCACACTCTCAATCTCTTCTTATTCTCTTCTTACATGCCTGAATTTAATACATATATATATATATATATATATATTAAAATTAGGGCTTTGAAGTATATATTTAGCGTGCATTACTGTCCATTCAATTATTTATAGCAGTTTATTTTTATTTATTTACTTTTTTGTTATTGTTGTTTTTTTGTTGTTCTTTTTTTTTTTTTTTTTTTTTTTGCTTTTATATTTATTATTATTATTTTTTATTTTATTTCCTCTTCCCTTACTCTTGGGCCTACGACTTAAAACAGCGTCTATGCCACGGATAACAGTTGGGGGAGACGACGACCGTACGGCTGGTGGGGTCGTTATTCGGACCGATTCACAGGCCGATGCCGTCACGGTGTACGAGAACCAAATGTACGTGCGGCGCATCGCCAAGGTCGATCTTCCCGCCACGGTGACTGCGACGGGTGGGAATCCCGCCGGGGACGACGCTGGCGGCATGGAGGATGGGGACGACGTTCTGCAGCTGCTCTTTGCGATGCCGCGGGACTTTGAACGGGACTCCGTGCAAGTCCGATTTGACGAGCGCACCGCCGCCCTCGTCGTACTTCGTGGGGTTCTCTTTGAAGAAAACTCCGTCGAAGACGACCGTGACGCGGCAGCAGGAGACACGCAGCGGCAGGAGACGCAAGATGAGCAGGCCAAAGGGATCATGATGCAGTTACAGGAGGTGGAGCAGCAAATTGAACTCAACAAAGTTGAGCAAACTGCCGCAAGGGATGAGGCGGAACTGAGCGCTCACCTCTTTGCGCGGGCCTGCGGGCTTCTGTCGGATGGTCTGGGGACGGCACTGGAAGTGGGCTTCTGGGAGGCGCAACTCGCCGGGGTGGAGAATGCCACCGTGCACGCCAATGAGGAGCGGCGGCGACTGGAAAAAGACGCGGCCAAATTGAAGGTGGAGAAGGAGCGGCTGCAGAGTCTTCTGCGTGAAACGTCAAGCGGAGACTCGGCATCGAGTAAACAGACGGAGTCCGTGTGTATAGTTCTGAAGGTCAAAGAGGCGGTGCCACACGCGGTCGTGTACGTATCGTACATGTCGCCTGGTGCCTCGTGGCGTGCGGAGTACGAGGTAGTGCTGGACAGCCAGCAGCAGTTGATGACGCTGCGCTACAACGCCGTTGTGCAGGCGACCGGGGAGGGCCTCTACGACGTTGCGCTGACACTCTCCTCTGTCGCTCCACGTCGTGGCGCGGCGGAACCGCAAATGGAGCCGTGGCGCCTCTCCCCAACCTCACCGAAAATCGAATGCCCTCATATGTTGATGTTGATGAGCACGACGGATGGGAGCGTCAGGGGCTCCGCGCCGTCCATTGAGGCGGCGGCGGTGTCTGAGACGATGGGAATGGTGAATTTCACCGTCCCGTCGCGTCGCACTCTGCGTGGGGACGGCAGCAAACTTCGCGTCCCACTTACCGTCCTGCAGTGGAAGGCTGACGTGTCATACTCGACGGTACCGTCC